TGAATGTGATCTGCTGGGTGCCGAAATTGGCTTACACAAACGGGTTGTTCAGGTCTGGTTTCAAAATGCTCGAGCAAAAGAACGAAAATCACGGGCCTACACTGGTCAGTTTATTTTTCAATAGTAATTATCTCACCATCCAATTCTTTCATTCCATTATGCTGAAGACAGCGATGTGCAGACGCATAAATAGTGGTCACTGACGAAAGCTGAAGAGCAACCTTCGGACAAAGCTATTAACATTAACAGTGCTTGAAAAAATTTCATTCAGTCCTTAGTTGAGTGCCACTGATCTGTTCCTACAAATAGAATGGAAGAGCATGGCATGCTGCTTGCCCAAAATTGATGAATATCGTGTATTAGTGAGTGATATCGTTAGCAAAATAAATGGCTACTCAAGTGACCTGTGAAGAATTGGCACATGAACAGGCGGCGTTAACTGGAGGAAGTGTGTAGTACAGGATTGAAGCGTTTGGAAGAGTTGCGCGCCGGTGTATAGGCGCGTTCCAGAACAGCACTAAAATCAGATTCTCAATCGCAGAATTTTTGTGCAAAGCTGATTATCGCATGATTGTAGCATGAAAATAATATGAAGAACTTAAAAAAGAAGGCAAGAATAGAACGAACTATGTAATGCAAGATGTAGAATTATTGCTGGTACAGGAAAAATAAGTACGAGAGAGTTAAAACGTTTCGATCCATGAAGTTGAAATCAAGAATTATGATGTTTTGGTCAAACAGCTGTTCGTTTCGTTGTAGGTGATGAAGAATTGCTCCGTTGCGCATCAACACGTTGTGCAATATGTTGCATCGATTATGATCACCGTGTAACGTTGCACGACCATATCTTCACTGAAACCCACATAAATCGGGTTAAAAAGCTTTTTGATAGTGAAGGCATGCAAGCGGATGCTTTGCGCGAAATAGCTGCGCCTACTACCGAGTGCACCGAGAAAGAGGAGAGCCAGCGTATGAGGTACCTGTTTTCCTGATTTTCGTACTCCGTGGTTTTCTATTTTTGCAACCAGCACTTCCTTGCGATAACCCAAATTCGTTGAAAAATTTAACCCTGTTTGATTAGAATTTTGCATGTTTTGCTAAAAAAGTTGCAAAAAACGCATATCGTCGAGACCCAGTCTTGTATCTCTCTGTCTGTGTTACTAGTGTACTTTTTTAGACATGAGATTTACTTGGTACCAAAAAAGGCCAAGCTGTCCTGGGCAGAGGGTGGGCATCTGATTTTAGCAATATTCTGTAAAGCAGTCGTTCTAAACAATCGTTTACTTTCTCGCAAGTACCACTTGTGCGCGACACCCGCCAGCCGTAACTTGCCTTAATGCTGATTTCCTTGCTCATGTTGTTGCCGCAAGCTTTGGGCAGTGCTTAGAATGACGGAGAATCTCACTGCTTGTAAAGCCTCAAAAAAAGGCTTAAAGTATGAAATAATTCCATCTTTTTCTTAGTCACAGTCCGCATTTCTGCTTTTGTTTAGTGATATTTCGATGCGACTTTTTAGGGGAATTAGCTGGTGTCGAATTTATGTCTGTCGTTAGCCTTTTTACGTGCAGTTTCCGACTGGGTCTTTTGGCGCATATTCACTCCTCTTTTTTGAAGCACTTTTCGGAATGAGCTTTTTCCGAGGCATTTAGACGTACCTGGGGGGCTAAATTTGAAATCTATAGGCCGTACAAGGACAAAAAATACTTCCACAATTCTTTTTTCTAGTTTATATAGTTTCTGTTAGGTTTGATGCCTGAGTATATAAAGCTTCAGTAATCCTGTGCAAAAAAAAAAAAAAATTTCTATTAGTTTTTCTAGGATGAAGGCAGTGCGCGATCGCCGGACGCTGAAGCCATCCAGTTTACCACTGCCAAATACCGGAAGCAGTACGGTGCCACAGTTCCCTTATAATTTCCTATATGGTCTTCAACCAGGTCAGTTTTAGACTTAGCATTACGGCTTTTTTATAAAAATTCCCTCCCTTTTTCTTACTACTTTAACTTTGCTGCAGCTAAAAGTGATTGCT